AAAACACAAAAACTTTACTAATTTTTAGATTACTTACAAAGTTTAGGAAAAATGTGTTCAACTGGTTGCCTAACTTCTACAAAGTTGGGAAAATGTTAAATATTACATTGCCAAATAACTGTTTATTTTTATTTTAAGTTTTAGATACATTTATCTACTAAATTGTCGTCCATCTCGTCCACCCTGCCGTCCTCCACCACCTCTACCACGGCTGTTACCAACTTGTCTGTATGTATTTGTTTTCTGTCGCTGTTGTCCATCTCCCGGTTGATTCATGCGATTGTAATACCCGAAACCGCCTCCGCCATTTCTTTTTTGCGGACGGTCGTGTTTAGGCGCAGAAACTTTAAGATCCACAGCTGGTGGTACTCTAAAACCAAACGATCCAGCCACCTTTTTAAATCCAATGTAGTAATATCAAATATCGTCTTCAAATGATGTGAATCATACGCGCGTACATAAGCTTTAAACGCCTCTTTTCCGGATACATTCAAGAAATAATTCTTTCCAATCAACTCTTCTAACTGCAGCTGAATATCGGCTATTTTACTCCATGAGAATTCAAACTCATTAAGAGGGACTTTCGCTTGTTTTAAATAACGTAAGAAACCTAGTTCCTCAGGTCGCAGGATAAGCAGCGCATGACCACGAGAGCCTTCACCACGCGCTGTACGACCCACACGATGGATGTATTCTTTGGGATCATCTGGGGGGTCAAACTGGACGATCCAGTCAACTGCGGGGATATCTAAACCTCTCGCAGCAACATCTGTACAGAGTAATATACCGGCTTCTGCGTTGCAGAATTGGAAGAAAGTCGTGGTTCGTTTTGTCTGCTTTTGTTTACCCTGTAAAAATATTAAAATTTTAAGCCAAAACTATTAACATAAATAGAAAAATAATATGAGTAACGAAAAACAACCATATTTGGGATTTAAATAAACAATTTCGCGTGTTTACTAAGCAAATTTAAGTAATTATTGTAAAATATTACTATTATTGAGTACTGCGCGTTAGTTCAAATTTACTCCGCAATAAAAAAGACGCGCATGCGCATTATTACTTCAAAATGTATACTTACATGAATGCACATCACTGGTAAGTCAATATAATTGAACAACTCGTGATGAAACTTCACAGACATACACGAGCTGAAGAAGACCATCACCTTCTTCTTGCGGTTTTTCTTCAAGAATGTGAAAAGAACGAGTAGTCGCTTCTCTGATGGACACACCACGTATCCTTGCTCTA